TGCCGAGAGCTTCCTGGCCCGCGCGCGCGCTCCGCCTGCCGCGCGGAGCGACTCGGTGGACGTCCGAGCCCGCCGCCCCTCGCCACTGCTCCCTGCTGGCCCATTCAGCGCGACACCGCCGGCGCTGCGCCTGCTTCCTTGTGCGCCGCTGGCCGTCGGCCGAAAAGACCGCTTCCCTCTGGGGACCCGACTCCGCGAAGATCGCGCGCGCGTCGTGAATGCGGCGCGCGCCCAATCCCCGTTCCCGGGCACGCCGGTCGCAGTGGCATGGGATCCCAGGCTCAAAACATCGCTCAAACAGCGAGAGCGCCGCCGCTGCTCCTCCTCCCGCCGCCGCTCCGCTCACCGAGACAAACTCGGTGCCGCCGTTCTCGCCGCCGCCGCCGCCGCCGCCGCCTCGCCCCTCGCCTCCGTCACCGCCGCCCTCCATCTCGCGGCGGCGTCCCTCTGACATGGCGCGGGCGCCTCGCTCGCCGGCGCCTCGCCGCTGCCCCCCTCTCGCCGCCGCTCCGCTCGTGGCCGCCGCCTCCCCTGTCAATCCCGCCGTCCGCACCACCGCTGCCACCGCCTCGGGCCTCGCCGCCGCCGCCGCCGCCCTCCCCCTCGCCGCTGAGCGGTGCTTGGCGAGCCTTCTCACCCGCCCGGCCGCGCTGCGCGCACAGCCTGTGGGTCAGCCTGTGCACACTCTCTCCTTCTCGTACTATCCCGCCGTCCGCACCTCCACCGCTGCCACCGCCTCGCGCCTCGCCGCCGCCGCCGCCGCCCTCCCCCTCGCCGCTGAGCGGTGCTTGGCGAGCCTTCTCACCCGTCGCCCGGCCGCGCTGCGCGCAGCCTACCCCTAGGAGCTAGGTGCACACTCTCTCCTTCCTCTGTACTCTGACTGCGCCGCCGGCGCCGCCACGCATGCAGTTGGGTGCTTGGGTCAGCGGCGTGAGCCGAGAGGTGGCCCACCGCTGACAGCGCTCAGCGCGGGGGGGGGGGGGGGGCGCCCCGCGCCCACACACGCGCCCAGCGGCCAGCGCAGCAGCACGACGGCTCCTCTCGCCACCCCACGCGCGGGGGCGTGACGTCTGTAGCGAGGCGACGGACGGTGGGACGGTGTCCGACCCGTTCTGGGGTTTTCATATGATGCCGCTCTACTCGTATCGACCAATAAAATACCGGGGGAGGCCTGCGCAGCCTCTAACTATTTCTGCGTTCGGCAAGCCGGTTGAGTTACTGGTTTCTTTGCCCAGGGGCCAGGCCTACGGCCCATGGCCATGCTGGATCAGCTGAGCAAGGTTTGTGGACAACAATCCTTTCATTGCTGTGATTCCGCGACTCCTGGTCCTGCCTGTAGCCTGATTGCTCGATGCTGTGTGACGCTGTGATCCCGACTCCCGCCCTGCCGTGGAGACCGCGTGGTGCGGAACAGTAGCTTTGATACACCTACACCTGATTCCCCGCTCACAAGCGACAACGGACCCACTCCCTGAGGGCTACACGTACAAGGCTCCCCGCCTCCCGTCATGTGATCCGGTTGAGCTTCTTGAAGCGGCCCATGTCCTCGCTGTCAAGCTTCTTCCAGGCAACGATTTGCTTGAAGATATGCGAGAGGACGTGGCGTGCATCGCGCTGCTCGGGCCGCAGCTGCGGCACCACCCCCAGTAGCTCCCCCGCCTCGCGAATGTAGTAGTCGAGGTCGCCGTCGTTGCACTTGTTGGTGAGGTGGGCGAGCCGCACCTTTTCGGAGGCGAACTGCTCGTCCAGGTCGAAGAGGTCCAGCGCGGGCGGCGGCGGCTCGCGCAGCGACGGCGGGAAGACGGCGGGCACGAGCGGCG